ATTTGGAGCGATTTTTAGTCAATGGCAACAATATCTATGCATATATTTTGTATAAATATACTGTATATATGGTAAATGTAATGAGAAAATGATGAATAAACGTTTTTAATGTATCAATATCTAAATTATCACGAAATTCAAATTGTTTTGTTGTGTAGTATTTGAAATGTTGTTTTTTTTAGGTGTAATGTTGGTTGCCTAAAGTCAAATCGGAAATTTTATTAAAATATTTAAGCAAATGTTTAATAAAATACATTTTTAAATATAATTTAACACTTTAAAATAAATATAATTATTATGTGGCATAATAATCACATATTTTAAAAGATTTTTATTGTTATTATCGGATATTATCCCATAAAATTTAACACAAAATAATGAAAATTTACAATAAAAAAGGTTTATTATATGTTGTTTGTATAAATGTAAAAGAATTACAATAAATAAATACTTTTTATACCATTTTATTGTATTTTTATCATGTATAATAAGTTGCCTACCTTTAGGCGCAAATATATCCCTGCCATACATTACCCCTGCCTTCGCGTTAGTCAATATTGTTGCAGGTGCAAATAATTAATTAAAATCACGTGAATTAACCAAACTAAGCGTTGATTCTACTCCACTATACAACCAGGTAAGTTCTAAAAGCATTTTACACAATATTCCTTCAGTTCTTTTCCTACTACGCGTTCTTTCCGCTGTTGTTACATAAGTTAGCATATAACCTAACAATTTTCACGACGAACGAAACTTCACAAACTTCAAATTATAAGCGACACACACAAATACTAGTTTAGTTTTATTTAGATATTAACCAGTAACAATACTATAAAATTCCAGTGTATAGAGAGTTCCCATCATGGGCAACACAGTGTCTGCTGCAGACATTGCAGCATCACACATAGTCTATCCAAATCAACACAAAGATGGACAAGCAACACAGTCAAAGGTACCCCCTGGGCATCCACATGTTCAACATGCGAATTATGCAGCTGGGGAGATACCTCCAGAATGCCCAATGCATCAGAAACAAGCTCCTGCACCTCCGCCAGCTCCTGCACAACCTGTGGCTGCTTCAGAATGTCCTGTTGGATATGGAAAAGGAGATGTTAATCCTTTAAACATGGTAAGATCTATTATTTTACATATTTGTTTTTGATTATCAACGAAATAATAGCATTGAAGTTGAATTCTGTGATTTTTTAATATTTCAATGTGTTTTCGTGTATAAGAAGTTGCCTACGTTAAATACACGTTCTAGATAGAATAATTCATGGAAAGAAATTTCAAAAAACAACTTTTAAAACTTTTTCTGAAAGGATTTCATTTGCAATAATCCATTACATACACTTTTTATTTATACCTAAATTAATTTCACTATTTCTTCTTTTCCAGATGCCACCAGCTAATCAGAAACCATCCCCTGATCAACCATTTCCTCTCCCAATCGACAGACAAACCTCCTCAATCCCAAAAGCAATCGTCAAAGAAGGCGAATCCCCATTCTGGGTGTATCCCAGCCAACAAATGTTCTGGAACGCCATGTTACGGAAAGGCTGGCGCTGGAAGGAGGAAGACGTCAAGGAGAAAGA